ATCGCCGACCTCCTCTTCTTTACCTAAGGAAAAGTGAAGGTATTATTATTATTATTATTATTATTATTATTGTGAACAAGATTTTTCTCTTATTATCACGATCCTCAGTATTTTGAAGAGTATTAGCGTAAGGAATATTGAAAATGTTTATTATTATGAATATGTTGTTATCTTTATCGCTTATTGGATTAGTGTCTGATTGCTTTCTTTTGGAGATCAAGTGACAACAAGACACTTGATAGATTTCTTATGATTATATTTCAGATATTGCTCCTAGCTGGAACTGCGCAAATTATCCATTATCTTGTGTCTCTCCTCTTCTTTCTCCTTTTGCTTGTATCTTCCCATTCTATCCCTTATCCTTTCCCATGCAACTAAGATTATTCATAATCTCATGCCTTTTCTCTTTTCTCTCCCTTTTGCCTGTATCTTCTCATTCTCACCTTTATCCCTCTCAATGCATCTAAATGCATTATCTCATGCCTTTTCTCTTCTCTCACCATTTGCCTGTATCTTCTCATTCTCTCCCTTATCCCTTCCAATGCAACTAAGATAATACACTATCTCATGCCTTTTCTCTTCTCTCTCCGTTTCGCCTGTATCTTCTCATTCTCTCCCGTATCCCTTCCTTGTAAATAATGGCATTACTTCTTAGTTACTCGTTATAAATGCTGGTGATAAAATGTGTACGAAATAAACAAATGCGACGCAGGGTGAACTCAGATGCTGATGTCCATCAACCTACAGCCGGCTGTCTTAACATGCAACGTTTGTTCAGTAGTCTACGAGGAGCCTTTTTGCCCAAGCCAGCTTAATATCAATGTGTTCTCAGGTCAAAGGTAAAAGAGAGAATTTTCGGATATATATTCCCTTCCTAATATTATAATCAAATCAGTTTGACAGTCGACGAACCAGCTGATGTTGAATAATTATTTATCTCTCCCCTCACGAGGACAAATTTGACACAAGGTCGATTTAATGTAACCAGCTGTTGAGTATTGACACTGTTGTTAGGGTCGAACCCATGCCTGAACAATTTAAAAAAAAAAATGGATGTTATCTCACTTCAGAACTTAGACAGCCATGGCTCTCCACGGATTCCTTTTTCTTTATTAGTTGTGAATTGACATGCATTATTGGGAATACCGTAGAGTCAGGTTCCTTTACGTTTACTGCGCTTTTGAAATTTTGACTGCTATCCAAGCTAAAAAGCCTAGTTTACCCGGATATTATATATATATATATATATATATATATATATATATATATATATATAGTAATGGGTAGTGGCTTGGATTGAGGAATCGGAGAGCTGAGTTCGAATTCCAGTCGAATCCATTACATTCACTTATGCTAATACCCTTTGGGAAAAGTTGTGAATCCTCTTCTCCTCCAGCTATGGGTAAAATAGCAGGACAGACTGGGGTTCTATAGCCTTGGATGGCAACTGGTCTAGGAGAAGGACAACTTGAGGGTCGTTTGGGGACCTTGTGGCACTTAGTGCACCAGGTCTCTGAATTCGGCCCTTCAAAAGTGTGGCTGGTCTTATGAAAACCTTCACCACTATAATCAAATCACATGTGCTGTTGTCGAGCTGTCGCTTTCTTTGGAACTGATCTGTTTGACCTCATACGTCGAATTCGATGGTGAGACGACGATATATATATATATATATATATATATATATATATATATATATATATATATATATATATATATATATTATATATGAATCCAGCATCTATTATCAAAAGTAAAGTGGAGGAAAAATAAAATTGTCTTTGTTTATGGTAGGATACGATACTGATGTTTCAAGAATTAGCAGAGAGTATGTATTCCAAAGGCACTATTTAGGTTTGTTTGACCAAAAGTCCTAGAAGGCCAAGTGGTTAGGTATGTCAGATCCAATGACAATTCCCAATAGGTGATGCAGATTTGCCAGAGGATACATATTTTTTCAAATAAGATTTCTTGAATATTCAGATATAGTTGGATGAAAAATACTGTTTAATTAAAAAAAAGAGCTTCTACTCGAATATGAGTAGCCATCAAAAATAACGTTTAACAAAATTGAAAATAACAAAATATAAATATAATATATATATATATATATATATATATGTTATAATTATTTTAAAAAAATATGATTTCTTGGCTACATTAGACTTCTCATGTCTTAAAAACAGGAGCCGAAATTTTTGGAATCCAAAATTTTGGATTCCAAAAATTTCGCTTGAGGATGAAACAGAGCTTGATACTTTAATTCAAAATTCAATTTAATTTTAATAATTATATTGAAGTTTCTGGCTCTTGTTTTTGAAACATGAGAACTCTTATGTAGCAAAGGAATCGTATTTTTAAAAAATAAGTATAATTTAGGTTCTACTTTTGTATTGACCACTGTTTAAAAAACAAACAAAAAATACTAAAGAACTTACTTATTTACCTAACGTGATCTTTCCCTATATATATATATATATATATATATATATATATATATATATATATATATATATGAATGAAGAAATATACTCTTAAAGTGTGCTATGTTTATGGGATAAAGTGCTCAGTATCAGAGATAGAGCGTATGAAAATATAAATATAAAAGTGAAGTCAACACTTAGAGGTGATAGACTGTTTCATGCTGGATGCAATCGTCAGGCCACAAGTGAAACAGCTTGTCGCCTATAAATTTTGACTTCAATGTTTATATATATATATATATATATATATATATATATATATACACCCTTGTGAAAATAAATTTTTTCGTATTTTTCCGATGAAATATGACCCAATGCACATATAAGTACTTCATATGTTCATCCCCAAAGTCGTTCCTTCCAGATTAACCACAGATTCTTGATTGGATTTAAATCAGAAGAGTTTCCGTGCCAGTCGATAGTACTTTTTACTCATTGGCTAGGCTTGCCAATGTGTTCGTGCAGCGGTACAATTTTCGTACGTTCCGTTAGAGTAACGTCCATCGCAGACAATGGCTGTAGGACAACTAATCGATAGTCAAGACAATAGTGTCTGGGCGTGATAAAAATCTGATGCAATATTTTTCAAGGCCAAACAAATTTTAACATACACCCTGAAAACAAATTCATATTATTGCACACCACTGCCATTAACCTAATCCGAGGAAAAAATAGAAAATGATTACACCTTGTCACTCCAGTGGATTTAAAATTGACCGTATGGTGAAAGAAAGGAAACTAAAGCAGTTGTTTCAATTAATTTGCACAAGGGTGTAATTAATATCGGATTATTACTTTTATCTGTCTATATTTCTGAGATGAGGTATTATGTACATTATTTACATTATTCGGACTATTGTCCTCATCTTTGGCGCCATATTTATTACAACGTTTCGGCCTTTCAGTATCTATCTATATTTCTGAGATGAGGTATTATGTACACTATTTACATTATTCGGACTATTGTCCTCATCTTTGTCGCCATATTTATTACAACGTTTCGGCCTACTTCAGGTGGCTGGAATGTCGAATTGATACCTTTATTTCGCTCACTCGGGTAGACTGTTCTAGTTCCACGTGGCATGTTTAATGGATGTCAGTTATCAGTTATCTCCTGTTACTTTCCCTCAAGGACACATGGCACAGTGGGCAAAAGCGTTAGCTTGATCCAGTGACAGGGCCTAAAGAGTGTGAGTTCAATACCCGGTTAAGGCAGTGGAGAACTTTCAGAGGATAGACATGATTGCATTTCTAACAGTGTTTGTTTGCATTTGAAAATTTACGCGACTATAGCATGCAAAAATAGTCACATTTAGCTATGTATATTTACTGCACTTAGTTTGGCACAAGGTCACGATAATAGCGTGTTTAGTAAAGACGAGAAAGGTGAATTGGATGTGAAACTAATATCTTGAGCATCATTTTTCTCCGTCGCCTTTCAATTTACTTTTTTTCTTTCTTTGTTTTCATATTTCTTACTCTTTCTTTTTTCTTTATCTTCTCTTTAGCTTTTCTATTCTGGATTATCCTTCTTTCTTTCTTTCTTTCTTTCTTTCTTTCTTTCTTTCTTTTCGTATTTCTTACTCTTTCCTTTTTCTTTATCCTCTTTATCTATGTGGGATTCCCCTTCTTTCTTTCTTTCTTTCTTTCTTTCTTTCTTTTATATTTCTTTTCTTATTTCTTACTCTTTCCTTTTTCTTTATCCTCTTTATCTATTTTGGATCCCCCTTCTTTCCATTCTACACTATACTTACTCTCTTCTTGCTTTGTTTCCGTTCAATATTAACACATGTACTTGTCTCAATTTCCTTCTTTCTTTCTTTCCTTCTTTCTTTTCCACTTTTAACTTCTTTTCGGTTTTTTCCCTGCTTTTTTTTGTTTTCCTTTCTCTCTCTCTCCCCTCTCTTCTATCTATCTTTCTATCTCTTTAATACACCCTCTCTTCTCCCCGTCTCTCGTCCTTTTCTCTTCTCTTTTCGTTTTCTTTCTCTTTTTCTTTCTTTTCTCATCTATTCTTAATTTTTCTTTTTATTCCTTTCCCTTCTTCCTCTCTTTTATTTAATTTTTGATTGCTTCCTATTCACTTTCGCTTTTCCTTTCTAGGCAACGCCCACCCTGACACTGACATCTCGACAGAAATGGCTTCATGAATTAGGAGCATTTTTCCCGCAACGTTGACTGTCACGGGATCTCTCTCTACTAAGCAACCAAACACATCAGCGAGTGAGAGAGAGAGAGAGAGAGAGAGAGAGAGAGAGAGAGAGAGAGAGAGAGAGTGAAAGATAAAATAGGAGGTGTGATGTTGCATATAATTTGGAGATGTTCATTCATAAGATAAGCGGGGGCGACTTTTCTCGCCCTTCGTTCATGATTAAAAAAAATCGCAGGGAAAAGAATATTTAGAGAAAAAGTAGGATTTGGAGAAGATTTACCATTTCATCGTCGCGAGGCGAACCGGCCGTTCCCATTGCGACAAAGACATTAAAAGAGTCAAGATTTGACATTCGAAAGAGGAGA